CACGCCAACATCGAAGCGATAACCGAGAGAAAGAAATCACATAAATAGAAGAAACCCTGTCGACAGACGAAGAAGAAAAAAGTGAAATGGCACACACTTTGAAAAACCATGTTAAACACATACCGAGTCAGCAATGGCAATCATAATCTAGTGAACAATAAAAACGGGAACATCACAAAAAAACCATGGAACCATTATACTTAGAGAGAAAACGGAAATAGGAAAAAAGCACGGAATGGGACAAAAGACAAGCTACGTCAAGAACTATCAAGAGCTAATAGAGATTGAGCTACACAGAAAATATGCATATGTGGATGTTTACTAATTTAAAATCAACTGTGTCAGGAAAAAAAGCATATATACCGAATGAAAAAAAAAACCCAAACTGAATGGAATACAAAAAATACAACAACAAAATGATAAGATTCTCTCCAAGTGAGCGTACCATTGATTTTCTTTTCAAGTCGGGTATAACGAGGAACAGGATTTACTTATGCGTCTACACATGTTTGTATATGCATATCAAATGCTTTTCATAGTGTTTTTTCTCACTCATTATTGTTCGCTCTTGTACGATTTGTTGTCTTTCAAATGCTTGAGATGATGACTTACTATGACTAAATTGCAAATGGGCAAATGCGAGACGACAGATAGTGAAGAGAACGAACACGAGATAGAGAGAGAGAGAGAGAAAGAGAAAAGGGAAAAAGAAAGCCTTTCAAATCCATTGTATTTGATATATGTTATTAGGCAATGTGCCTACACACTGTCAATTTTCATTTGGAATTTTCCCAGGAATTAGCATAAATAAATTCAAAATGACTTTTTAACAAAATTACGAAATAAAATATATACGTATGCGATGACAATGGATCACACACACACACATTCACAACGACAATCCTGCTGTTTTTAATGTTGTCGAAATAAATCATTGTGGCGAAACAGAAAACAGCATAAATTAACTGTCATAATTAAATGTCGGATGTGCACAGTGAAATCTCTTTGAGGGAGAGAGAGCTACCGAGAGAGAGAGAGAAAGTTGGACAGAGGGACATAGAAGCCCGTGTGAAAATTGTTTTTAACTAAATCAAGTTGCGACAATATTGTGCACCCACATGATATACGGCCAAAAATGGTGTCATATCTCTGTTTGATGTAATTTTTTTGATTTTGTCGTCCCAAAGTAGTTTTTAACTGAATATCTATCGAAATCAGTTGAAAGTTATTTTTTAGGTAGTTTTCAATTGCTAAAATTCCAAAAGAAACTGTAATTAAATGAGTATGACAACTGTCGGTTAAACTATTCTACTTTCAGCAGACATTTTTGGTTCATTGTTAAAATCTTTTTAAATAATATTCCACGGCACTTTGAATTTTTTGCCAATAATCTATTTTGCACAGAACAACTAAGCTAAGCACACCAATGTTCATTGTTGGGTTGTCCTTAAGACAGGTATGAGCTTGCCATCGATATGTGCCCAGACTGTTTCTCAAAGCAATATAAATGAGAAGGATCGTTTTGAGGAGCCTGAGGGGCAGATCTCCAACTAATTGACGTGCAAACTATTAAAAGTTTAAAAAAAATTAAAATTGATAATATCATAATTTTGGATATTTTTCAACTTTTAAAATTTGGCTCCTAATTTATGAGATCTTCTGCTTCTTCTTGATTAAAATAAACTCCTGTCTGTATAATTGGTAGTTTCAGATACAATAGATTTAATAATTTTGTTTTTTTTTTGCAGCAGGGAGTTTTGTTTGTATGATTTCGAAATTTGTCATGAATCACAACGGATAAATCAATGAATGAGAGCCACATATCATATCCGATGCGCCTCCGGAAAAGTTATTTCACCACAAATCCCGAACGCTGAAATCAAACCAAATATTATCAATGAAACGGATAAAGAACTGAATAAATCTTATTTTTTATAGTATTATTTAAAAAAAAACTTTGCTCACAAGAAACGAAGCGACAAAGGCGGAAAAAAATCATACTAGTTTTGAATATGGAAGTTGATCGAAAACGAGTCAATTTTGCCCGAGACTTCAAACTATCGGCTATCAAATTAACTACTCTACTTTATTTAACTTTCAATTTTTTTTTCTTCTGTGATATGTGTTGCTGCTGCTGTTATTCGTGCATGTATTTTATATTCCTGAGGACTTGTCGATAAGTTGGTGTTCCAATTTTAGTGTTAGGTCCATCATAAATAGGCAGTGAAACGATTGGCAAAATGCAACGAGACGATGAAAATGCACACCGCTATTACCATTAATTTAGAACCATTCTTGAATCAAGCGGCTCTATCTTCAAGTCACTTGACTATATATTCAAGCGCATTGATTTATCAGGCCTGCATTATATTTTTATTGCCTCTGCACCTTTGTTGTTGTTATTTTTTTTTTCGTTCGTTCCTTCTTTTCTATCTATATCTATTCGTTGCCGCTGCTGCCGTGTATTTTCTGTCGATGGCATGCACGGTGCACGAAACAACAACGATTTAATCAGCTTCGAGCGACAACACACAACCATCGAAATAAAAACAAACAAGATCTAGAACAAGTTTGAATGCTGTATCGACTCAAACGGTTGTTGAGTTGCCCATTTGATATCACGATTTGTCGTGTATACACAACACACACACACATACATACATTCACTGCAAGCCCCATGCTGCAGGTATATATCGAATAAATTTTTCATAAGCATTTAGATTAGATAAAAAACAAATAAAAAGCATATATAAACTCAGACACATAGCCAACACAAACACACACACAAACTCGCTCACAACGCGATTGAAATACCGGTGATTGTACTTCGCGGTGAGAGTGCAATGAATGCACATTGTAAGCGCGCAAATGAATGTGATACGAAATGGTTTCTGTCTCTTGGCAAATGGTATGTAATTATGTGAAACACCTAGATCTTGAAGTTTATACAAATAAAACAAGAGAAAAAATAAGAATTAAATAAAAGAAAACAACACAATGTGAATGAATGAATGGTTTTTTTCCTCTTTCTCTTCTATTTGAAGTACAGAAAAATAGGCCCACTCATCGTGCAATTGCATCGCGTAGCATTGGCAAAGACACTGTGCACCGAAACTTGAGCGCGCAGCGGCTGCATGAAATATTGAAAGAATTTCGGAATTTTTATCGACTTCATATGCATGCACACCGGAGCAACAACAACAAAAAAAAGCCAACAAAATGCTGTGATTGAGGGCCGTGTCAATGAACATTTTGCATGATTACTGCCGACAAATGCAGTCCTACGAATATGATTGTTATTATTGCTATTATGATGAGCGAGTGTGTGTGTGTGTTATTTTCCTTTTGTGAGTTTTATATGTTGTACATCTGTCTAGTGGGCTGCGAGCGAAACGAGACTCGTAAGGCATGTGTTCACATATACATATGCATACATTAACACCGATCTCTCTCACTCTCTCACCTATAAAGGCAGAGAGGACACACTCAATAGGTAACAGCACACAATATTAAGCAGCCGCTGCTGCTGCTTTCTCTCTTGTATTTTGAGCCCAAAAAAATACTTTTTGTTTGTCTCACTGTTGTACGATATATTATACGTCGAACACATGCATCACAGTTTGTCTTACTTTCTATTAACGGCAGTGCTCTGTCTCGCTTGTTACTCTTTTGTTTTGTTGTTGTTGTTGTTGTTTTTCGGTGTGTATGTCGCAGCAACGCATGCAACCAATTCTCAATGTTCTCAATGTATGCGTTTACATTTTGTTTATTCAACTCCATGCGTTATCGTCGTCGATTTGAATCCATTTTAAAGTGGACGTTAATGTTTTAAATCCTTTTAAACGATCGATTGAATGGACGATACGAGTCCGTTTTGTTTATATTTCTTCGCTCTTTTTAGCATTCATTTTAAAAATACACTGTGACTGGAAATTGTGATATGAATTGTTGCAAGCGATGCACAACATGCACATTTCTCAGAAATGCCAAGGGACAACGGTAACAATCAACGACGACGACGACGACGACAAACTATGGATCGACAGAGAGTCGAATTGGTTGCGGAGACATGACTTCATTATTCGCTATTTATCATGCGTCACGTTTGGCTTATGAACAATTTGTTGGATGTGTATATGTTATGCACGCTAAAGCCGACGGCATGCGTTTTGCTACTCATTCCATGTGAAGACAATGCTTCTTTATCATGCACTTATTGGAGGCTAGTGTGTTAGCGAACTGGTACGACACATGTGTGTATGTGTGTGATGCCTATCTATCCATCCATCCATCTAGAGTAATTCTGTGCCTATTGCGGAGAACACGGCATTGCACAGAACAGTATACATTGTTGTATTTCGACGCGACAATCCAGCAACAAACAAATCTACAATAACACATGGAAAAAGAGCGAGAACGCGCTTCGAAAAGCCGACAGAGACGATATACACTCACGATTGCGATGGCATTGCGGCAAGCGACAACAAAACGCTCAAGCAGTATTTAGCGCACCGATTTCAATACATACCGATTGGGATATTTTTTTCATTATTCAAAAGGATTTTTTTTTAGTAAAGTTCACAAATCTCGGACATGAATTTATATCATTGCGAATGAAAATAATTTATGCCTTTAACTTAAAACAAAATTGATTTCGTTGATTTTTTTGTTCGAATATTTATGAAATCATGTATCGTCCAAACGTATTCCACACCCTAAAGATATATTTGTCGGCCGGTTGGTCTTCTGCTATTGACTACATGGGTCCTATGTTGCACATTTGCGCAAACACATGAACACACGCCATGTGTGTGCGGTGCATACGCAAACGTTACCCATCACAGCATAATTCGTTTTGGTAAAGGCACAGAAATACCGAGCTTCAACCGTATACGTTTCCATGAGTTAAATTCAGTTCTCAACATATTATGGTAGCGTCTGTTTCGATCAAATTTTTTTCATCTACAATAAACACGCTCCTTTCATTCTCCACAAGAGAAGAAGTCGAACGAATTAAAATACATATATATACGTTTCTGTTTTCGTTTCGTTCTTTTTTATTCCAATATTTTTTGTTCGTGTTTCTTTTGGTCAGTTTTTACCAATATAAACTTCAAAACAGTATTAAATGGTACGTTGTTTTAAATGGAATTTAATTTCTACAACATAAAATTAAAATAGAAAAAAAATTCAAAACAAAACATTGAATCGGTAAAATTCGGTGTAGTTTTGAAATTGAGGGTAAAAGTTGTGCATGTGTTTGCACATTTTTGCCAAGTTATTTCATTCGTCTTTGATGTCATCGAAGACTGATCGCGGCAAAAGTATTCGGTTTAATGTGTGATTTTAAGGTGCACAAAGTTTATCGTGTGTATTTGTCATTTTCGACCAAAAAAAAAAAAAAGAATTTAAACATCCAAAGCAAAAAATGAATCAAAGAGTATTCAGTGAATTAGCAACTAGTAATAATTGTCGTGTTCAGTTGGTATTTAAATTTGATTGAAGAAAAAAAAGAAGTGTTTTGTTTGTCACGTTTCCTATACGGTGTTGTTGCTAAATGAAATTTAATTTACAAGTGACGAAAAAAAAAAAAACGTTAAACAACTAGGCATTTTGAAATTGTGTCCATAATTTATATATTTTTTTCTATATCGTCAACGCTGAAATTAAAAAGAAACAAAAAAATAATAATAAACGTATTGTGTGTGTGTGTTTGTGATCACGGTCGCGCTATATATCTATGCAAACATAAAACTATGCGAGCGATAGTGAAATAAAAACAATATCCATAAATCGATAAGCAAATGAATATATTCCAATGTGATGAGAACACATTAATAACAATCGAGTTTTGTTTAAATTTGTGTTTGTGTGAAGGAAAGAGCAATATATATAGCGAGAGAAAGAGATTTGTTGGTCGAATGGGCCACCAGCCGTAATTACAAATCATACATTTGAATAAATACATTTTGGCCTTTTTTTGTTTTTATTATAATAAATCGCATATAAACGTCAACATAATTTGTTGGCCATCTATTTGATATGGTCGAATGTGCTTGATCAACATTGGATCGCACTGAACCAAGTTGTCGATCGAATATCTGAAATATTTTTCGTACCATAATACAAATAACATTTTGAGGGAAAAAAATTCGAATGAGAAAAAAAAATGACAGAAAAAAATTTACTTGAAAAACAAAATCCGAATACAAACCAACGAAATACCTCGAAGGTATTACCTACTGGATCAAGAATAAATTCGTGAGATTATCTGATTTGTTCTCGAAATATATTTGTTGCCAAAATAAAAAATAAGAGCATTAATTTTTTATTTTAAATCACGGTCATTCGTTGCTATTTTGCATGGTTAAGTGAAATATATGAGTGTATTTTTTGCATTAAAATTTTGCCTTAAATCATATTTTTGTTCAAAAAAAAACACAGAAAGAGAAAAACATACGAAAATAATACGAAAATTGATGTTAATACTCTTTCCTGCATCCTATTATTTATGACTTATTGTCCGTCCATCGTTAATATTGGTCAATATACCGGGTGTTTCATATAAGTGACAGTGTTTGTGTGTGTTTTGACTTTTTTTTAGAAAATCATTTGGAATTTTTTCCAATCGGAGTAGATTTTTGAAAATCAAAATACACACACACGACAGTAGTTATATGAAGCACCCGGTAGATGTATGTGTTTCTGTGTAAATCGTGGCGAATTTAAGCGAATTAAATCAAACCAATTCGGTGAAAAAGAGAAAAATGTATGAAACAACAATCCGGTCATAGATCACTTGAAAGAGAATGTTTGTGTGCGTTGCTTGTGCCAGTGACTGTAGTCTTTTGCACATTTTACTGAGATTGGTTTCCATCACATTTATTTGCTTTCTTCTTGTTGAATTTATCCACTTTGTGTGCATTGAATGACCGAAAAGAAAGAAAAAAATTATATATATGCAACATACTCTGACAATAACAATAACGGTTGCATCTACACACAAACACATGCACTCTCTCATCAGATGAAAATGTGCCCGGTGTTAAAATTGCATCAAGAGAAAAGATTATTCTTTGTTTATTGTAAATGGCGAAATGGCCATTTACGATTGAATGAGAAAGAAAGAGCTCCACAATAAATAAACGACAACACAAATGCAAAAAAAAAAAAAAAATAATATAAAAATAAAACAACAGCAAGTCAAAGAATAGTGATAAATCGCCGCCGCTTTTTATAATAAATACAACTGGTTTCTCGTTTTAAATTGTTGTTGTTGTTGTTGTTGCGCACTCTTTCTCTCTTACACTGTTTATACGTATTCTGGTTGGTTTTTCTCTCGTGTAATTCATTTTGTGTTGTTCTCGTTAGGTTATTCCTACTGTCGAGTGTAGTTGTTTATATCGGTGGAAGCGAGTGCATCGTAGAGCAAACGAACACATCAGTAATTCGTGGTCCATATACGTGCAAGATAGTGCAGTCAGCTTGGCACACTACCATAAACGCACATACGTGCGTGTGTGTGTGTGTTTGTGTGTGCACGCGCGCGCTCACGCTCAAAAGCAGGCATGCATGCATGCACATTCATATTGCTTACGCACAGCAAGGCAACGATCGTTTGCCGTTGATATTGTGTGTTTGATATTTTGTGTATGTGCGAACGATTCGTAATCGAACCGTTCATCATCGTATTGCCCGCCACTCAATAGTTTTCATGTACGCTCTTTCTCAATTTCTGTCTCCATTCTGAAATTCTGTGTTCTGCTTCGTTCGGTTCGCTTCGAAATCGTTTTATGATCGAATTATAAATGTAAATATCAAATATTAGATCAGACACTGAAATTGCTCGTTATGTGTGTATACGTCGGGGATTGTATGGTGTATTTTGGTTCGGTTGCTTTTGTTCTGGTTCTTTGTTGGCCAAAATTTACATTTCAGATAAATAATAAACAACAAAGAACGCAACTGATGTGTGAACACGATGTTGTGAAATGAAAAACCACAGAAACAATCGAAACGAATGAAGATGAAGAGCTATGAATTTGCTCCGTTCTAAATACGAAGCCGACGGTGAACACATTTGAAGAGCGAAATAAAAAACAAAACACTGAAATCAAAAAAAACAACACATCCAAGAGAGAAACGACATTGCCACACATTCACACATGAAATTTAATCTTAACCACGTACAAATCCGTGGTTGTCGAAAGCTGGCGAAAGAGAAAAAAACATACACAATCCACCCGAAACGCACGCATAGAGCGAAAGAAAGTTTAGGCTCAGCGACGAGAAAGCCATAAAAATTCGAGGTTTACGCACCGTTTGTCGTTTTTTTCTTCTTCTTCTTCTTCTCGCCAATTCCAAACACAAGAAGCGCACAAAGCAAACAAAATAAAAAGGAACTTCATGAACAAATCGTATAGTTACAATGACATAAACCATTTTAAGAATTTACGGTGTGATTTGCGTGCCGATAGTTTTTGCAACTGTATTTTTTTTTCGTGTGTTTGTTGCTGTCTCCCTCACTCGCCTCACTCAAAATTGATTTATGCACAGATATAGCAACGGCATCGGGTAATCAAAAGCCTTTCTTCGGTTTGCATATGTTCAATTTTAGCGCTCTCTGTCTTTGTTGGTCGTTGTGGCCTCCAAATCTTTTGCACCTTTTCCCACCAACTCATTTTGCAATTGGCGTACATTGTACTCATTTTCTCGTCTTCAGCCCTTTGATCATTGTGGAATGCAGTCGCGACTGAAACCGAAGCAATGTTAAAAAATGTACACATTTTCGTCTGTACGCATTCCTTCGGTCGTTTTCATTGTTTGGTTCTTTTTTTCCCCGTGTGTTTGGGTTCCTTTTTTTTGTGGCGCATTTACGTGATTTGTGTTATTTTAAATGTGCATCGTGCTCCACCGTTTCATGCACAGAAACGAGAGAAAAAAAGAAGAGAACGAACTCACTCACCACAGAAAACTAACACCCGTACTATATTACCGTCTGTTTTTGATGAATTTGAAACGTGTGTGTGTGTTTCTATGTATGGGTTTTAAATTGGGAATAATAAAAAAAATAGCAGCCTTATTCTCTTCCTATATGTTCTTCTGTTCTTGTCTCACTCGTCGATGTGGTGTGGTTGTATATGCTTTGACACACGTGAAGGGTCTACAATTGCGTACACAAAATTTTGTTTGTTCTTTGCTGTGTGAGCAAGTAGATAGAGAACATTGCTCTGGTTGTCGGTTGCTCTTGTGCTTCCATTGAATTAGGCAATGCTCAAATAATGTTTCTGTTCATTTTGGGCTATAATTTTTTTCTTTCTTCTTGTTGTTCATCATTTACAACGTTCTTGTGCCTGTTTATCTCTCTCCACTTATGTGTGGATTCCAAGTTTTTATGTATTTTCATTTGCTTCCTTTTAAAACGGCTTTTTAATTGGGATGAACATTGAACAAATTTAAACCCAAAAATTACGACGAACAACATCGGCAACTGAACGATATAAAAAAAGAGAAAAAGAACACCATAATGAGACGCGACTTGTGTGTTTTGTGTATATATCACTTTTGGAATGTGCACTAAATTTAAGTACAATTTTTTATGCACCACATGTGACTTAACCGTAAATAGACATACAACAAATTGATAGATAGATGAACATAGATAGCAGATGAGAGGAATGAGGCAAACAAGATTTTAATGGCATTTCAAATGCATCTTTGAAAGCAAAACTGATGATAAACATACACACACGATCGATGAGGCAAATCGACAACAAACATTCGATTTCATAATTTAAAACTTTGGTTTGGCGCAATTCATTCTGATTGTCTCACACCATGGATCGAACTTGATTCAATACAATATCAGATCGAATGACGATGGAACAGTGCAACCTAACTAATGCGTCTGTGTATTCCAGTCAAGAAAAAAAAAATATGATGATAAAAATACACACACCAAACGCGTTCACTGTTTTTTTTTCCTTCTCTTCTTCAGATTTCTTTGATTGCTAGCTCAGTCAACTTAATCAAACCATAAACAAACAAGTATACTATTTAGACAGTGCCAAAGAAATACGAATAACAGACAATCCAGACAGAACATTTTTGGTTTCAAAATAAGCAAACATT